AGGAGCTGTAAATGCTACTTGCTCTTTATTCTATTGATTTCACATTACTTCAATTCACATGTTGACGTCTAGATTGAATTTCTCATAACAATCACTTTTTCAATTTTTTCACATGACCTAGGAGAAATTATAGCATCTTACTGGAGGTAACAGTATGCCTTCATAGAACCACAGAAAAATTAAGTTGGAAAGGACCTCTGGAGGTGGTCAAGTCCAAACTGCTGCTCAAAAAAAAAGGTCTACCTTGAGTGGGATTAGTTTCCCTGGGACTCCATCCAGCTGAGCTATGAAAGTATCTGAGAATGGAGGCTCTACAATCACTCTTGGCAGCCTGCCCCAGCAATTAGCTGCTCTCTTTATAAAATCATTCTTCCTTATGTCCAACTGAAAATTCCCCATGTTGCAACTAGTGACTATTGCTTCTCATTACGTGACAGTACACCTCTTAGAAATTGGCATGGTCTCCTCGGCAAGCCCTCTCTTCCTTTGATTAGTTGAAGGCTTCAAGGAGATTCCCTGCCCTAGCCTTCTCTTTCAGCTGAGGTATCCCAGCTCTCAGCTCTTGTGCTCCAGCCTGCCAGCCACCTTGACCTCCCTGGTGGATGGACTTCCCTTGTAAGTCGATGTCTGTCTTGTGCTGGGTGACCAAAACTGAACATGGTATCAAGGTGCAGTTTCTCAAGTGCCACAGAGGAAGAGTCACTTTCTTTGACCTGCTGCCTATTCTCTTGCTGGTGTAGTCAAGGTGCATGCACAGCCTGCATAAAGGTGGGCTGCTGACTTATGTTCAACTTCTTGTCTATCGGGATACCTAGGTCCCTTTCTGCAGAACTGTCCCCTAGCCTGACAGTCCTCAGCTTGTACTTCTGCATGGCTTTACTCTTTCCAGTGCTGAGGACTTTGCTTTTTTCTTTGTTGACCTTCGTGGAGTTGCTCTCTGCCCACTCCTCCAGCTTGTTGAGGTCCCTCTGAATTGAGGCTGTACTCTCCCTTGTATCAGCTACTATTCTCAATTTAATGTCATCTACCAAGATGCTAAGGCTATGTTCTGTCCTATCATCTAGGTCATTAATGAAGATATTAATCAGCATCACCCCTTCTATCAACCCTGCAGGAGCAACATGAGTAACCAGTCTGTAGTTGAACTCAGTACCCTTTGAGCCTTCCAATACAGACTGTTTTCACCCAACTTGTAATCCTACCATTCAGTCCCTATCTCTCTAATTTGCTTACAAAGGATGCTATGAAATCCTGCATAGATATCCTTGCTCAGTTGAAGTATATGGTGAAGGGTCTGGAGAACAAGTCTTATGAGGAGCAGCTGAGGGAACTGGGATTGTTTAGTCTCAAGAAAAGGAATGCTGAGAGGAGTCCTTATCACTCTCTACAACTGCCTGAAAGGAGGTTGTAGAGAAGTGGGTGTGAGTCTGTCCTTCCAAGTAACAAGTGGTAGGACAAGAAGTGGAGTCAAGTTACACCAGGGGAGGTTTAGGTTAGGAAAAACTTCAGCACTGAAAGGACTATCAAAGACTGGAGCAGGCTGCCCAGGGAAGTGGTTGAATCACCATCCTTGGGTATATTTAAAAGCTGTCTAGATAAGGTACTCAGGGACATGGTTTAGAAGGGAGCATGGTAAAGTTAGGTAACTGTTGGACTTGATGATCTTAAAGGTCTTTTCCGACCATAATGATTCTATATGACATCCGCTGCTTTCCCCTTGTCCATAGAGCAAAACTTTTCGTTAGAGCATGAGATTGGCTAAGTGTGGTTTATCCTTGATAAATCCATGCTGGCTTGGCAATTAAGAGCAAGCTTTGATCAGGTGAGGCTACAGTTTCTTCCTCCCTGAGGGAAGAGCACCTCATGGTCATTGTAGCCTCACATCTGGGTGGTGTCTTCCCTCAGGAGTTTGTCCAGTACCCTGACATGCCAGCAGTTGCTGCTTAAGCTGGTACGGGGCACCTTGCCCTGCAGCAAGTCACCACCTGTGTTATTCAGATCCAGGAGCCTTGCAGAGTCCTCAGCAATGTCTCCAGGTTTCCTGTGCACCTCTCTCACAGCAATGGCTGTGCCAACTGCCTTGGTCCTCGTTGCTGGAGATCCCTAGGGGTCAAGTCCCTGGGAGGCTGGACCCGAGTCTCTTCACTGCCTCGCAGCATCTCCTGCTCAGCA